TATTTTTTGTATTAAGTGCAGCTTCAGGAGCCCCATTAATGATAAATATGATGCAATCATTATCAACATGGTGTACATAATCCTGGACAACATTAGTAGGGCTATTGACTGCATCCTCGCCATCAAAAATAAATGGGTGAACTTAGACCTTAGACTGGCATCCATTATTTTCCGATTCGATAGAGCAACCACTTTTTGATTTTGTTGTAATGTTCAGACTGACGATCATATTGTTTAAATATTTTATATAATCTAAAATTCAAAATTTTCTATTAAAAATAATTTCAATGAATTTTATTAAATAAATTCAGATATACAAACCGCTAATAGCCATAACCTGCGCTTGCCATTGCTTTCCATAACCCTCGAAGGCTTATTTTTAGCGAAGGCTTAGATAAGGAAAACGCATAAAAATAAAAACTAGTTGGGTGTATGGCATCATGTCTTAAGGCAAATTGCTGGAACTTCCCGTACCGTAACGAAATGTTCGAGGAATACTGAATGTTTTGAAATAGATTATTATTAATATTGTAACATTGTCTAATATTTATAAGAATTATATAAACTGAATTGCAAAGTTGAAATTATTTGTTCAAAGTATATTAGAACTTTAGTCAGAATTAAAAATAAAATCTGAATTATTTTCAATATACAAATTTTTTTTTTTTTTTTTAAAAAATTGGAAAATAAAGTTAAAACAATTTTTTTATCCAAAATCAATTATTTTGTTAAGACAAGCAAAAAGTTTTTTGAATCATTTAAATCGGACGCTTAGTTCTCTCAAAAACTGCCATTTTTTGCACATTTAGCTCCGCATCTTCGAAATGGCTGGGCCTGCCTTTGCCAAAACGCTTCTCCCAATCATTACTAATTGAATATTTTTAGAACATTCAAATCGGATGCTCCGTTCTCTCAAAAACTCGATTTCTATTTTCTGCACTCTTTGCTCTTTATCTCCGTAACTGCTGAACCTGCCTTTGCCAAAAACTAATCAGCTCATCTCCCTATCAATAGGAATCGAATGTTTTTTTAACTATTCAAATCGATTGATCCGTGCGCCCAAAAACGTGACTGGAAATTTGTATCCATACATACATACAAACACACACACATCCATTTTTTCTGAGGTATGCCAAAATGTTCAGAAACCTCCAAAACGTCGAGAAATGTAAAAATTTTCAATTTCGTTTTTGGGCCTTATAACTTACCCTACGGGAAGTTAATAAACCCATTTTACGGAAAAATCAACTTTTTATTTTAGCTTCACATACAGTACACTGAGCCTTAAATATAATTTTTGGTATTAAATTAGTTCAAGTGAATTGTTTTGGAAATAGTATCCTATTTTAATTTTTGACATATTATTTTAAATATGTTTTATATTTTATACAATAATTATGTTATATTTTAGTTTTCTTCATTACAACAATTTTTTCCTTGTTTAACTTCTCGAAGGAGAAGTTCATGTTTATAAACTCATTATAATATAATTATAATGTAAGGTTATAATGTAATGTAAGGTTATATGTAAAATATATTTATAGAATCCGTCGCTATCCAGAAACCGTTGCGCTCCTAATATGGATCACCACTTTTTTTTTATTTACCATTCAAATTACAATCTGTCTTAGTGAAGACATTTAGTAATTGGTATATTATAATATTAGCCCAGTCATTTGGTGCAAAAAAATGCTGTTGCCTCAACAGTTTTCCGGTAGTTTTGAAAATTGGTGATTTTATAGATTTTGATGTGATCTTTACGAATTTCAACTTTGCCACCTCGAATTTTTGCCGCTGCCGCCGCTATATTGGAAAAATTGCGTCAAAAATCAGTTTTTCAACGATATCTCCTTTCTGACTCATGTTACAATAAAATAACTATATACAAAATTAAACTAGACAAAATTTTCTATAATTTATTCAATAACGTTTTTTTTGTAACATCAATAGTTATAGCGTACGTGCACCGAAAAGTTTCTGCTGCTCGCGCCACAATCGGATATTTGGCCGCTCATTGCACTTAAACGCATACTCTCTAATAAATAAATAATTTCAATGTTGAATTAAGCTTTTCTGCTCAGGTCTGGCCTAGAAATAACATAAATCAATTATTTTTATTATTCATTTTTATTTTTGTTGATTATTGAATATTTTGAATCATACAATTTAATGCATTTTTTTATTTTTTTTTGGCAATATTTATATAAATTTCGGATTATTAAACTATGAAATATTGAATGAACTCAAATTGGAACTGTATACAGGAATAATCTTTGGCGATAATCGTTCCAATAACTCGATTGCATCGAAGAGATTACTGCGTATTGTATATAAGATTATATTATCTTCTAATAACAACACACAACGTCAATTATCTGCATTTCTACATCTACATATGTATAATATGTTTAGAATCAATAGAAATATTTTTTCTAGACGTCAGTATATTTTTATCGTTCGTTCCGTATACTAGTGTTACTTGCATTTTTGAAGCCATGACTACTAATAACGTGAATTGTTTTATTTGTGAAACTCCATTGCGAGAGAGTGAAGTGATTGAAGTGAAAGAAAGAATATTGGAGACTTTTCGTAAATCAAGTGCTCAAAGAAAGGACAATAAAGGTTAACTTTTAGAAGGACTGAGGTCAATAGTTGTTCATGAGGTTTGTCGAAAGCGATATAATAATAAAAAAATAATTAATGCGTCATTGCGTGGAGAAAGTGATGTGATGACTTCTCAACCACGTTTGCGATCCACGTTCCCAACATTCTCATTTAAGAATCATTGTTTTTTATGCGCTGCTGAAATAACAACAGAGTTTATGACGAAACAGAAAAAGACGCGTTTATGTGATCGTAATTTTGTATATAACGTACGTAAATTATCAATGAAAAACACTATTTCAGAGCGTGCTAGAGCACGTAATGATGATTGGGGTCGAGCGATTGTTGAGCGCCTCGAGCATGTTCATGATTTGGTCGCAGTCGAAGCACAGTATCACGATTCTTGTATGAAAAAATTATATCATGCACCACTGTAAAAAGAAATTAAAAAAAGAGGTCCATATGCAAACGAAATCGACACTGCAATGCAGTATATTTACTCTTATCTCGACCAAAATTCTGAAGAGTGTCAGTTTACACTAGACGAGCTGATGACGAAGATTGAAGGTGACTACTGCCCACACATAAAAACAGTAAAAGCACAACTTCTTAAAAAATATGGTGATGATATTTTAATCGCAATTACTGCCAATAAGGCACCTGTGATTTGTTTCCGTAACACAGGATTCAAGTTATTGACTGAAGCCTGGTACAACCAAAAACGTGATAACGAGATAGAAGAACGTCGGAGTATTGTAAAGACTGCAGCAGCAATTGTTATTGAGGATATTCGTTCTAGGGTCTACGAAACAAAGCAGTATCCTCCATCTGATAATTTTTTTGAAGGGATTGAATCAGATATACCTGAGTCTTTACGTGTTTTCCTGGATGATGTAATCTTAAAAAATAAACGTTCTTCTCTTGAGAAATGGAAGAAAAAAAGCATTGCTTTCTCCCATTCCATAATGGCCGCATCAAGGCCAAAATCTTTCGTATCGTCATTACAGGTCGGAGTAGCCGTATTTTTGTATCAAAAGTATGGATCTCGGCGATAAAGAGATACATTATCATCTCTTGGATTTTGCTCTTCGTATACAGAAGCAATGTTATTTGAAGCATCAGCAATAATGCGCCCGCCGTTGGATATCGATAATAATGCCTTTTCCCAATTTGTTTTTGACAACGCTGACTTTAACACGCAGACATTGGATGGTCATAATACTTTTTATGCCATGGGTGGCATTCCTTGTATAACACCTAGAGATGCTATTGCTTCAGATCAAAATATTCAACGGTTAAATAAAATTCCATCTGCTAAAGTTGTAGGCAATTTTGGAAGTATTGCATTGAAAATATTTGAGGAGAGAAACAATACGGGTTTGAAAACAATAAAAATTCAGAACCTCGATTGCATTCATGCAGTTTCGGAAACGATCATACCGTCCTATTCGGATTTATTGTGGTTATATGGAAAATGGGCTGGCTTGCCTAATATACCCAGCTGGAGTGGATTCATGGAACAAGCAACAGCAAAACTCCCATTTCAAAAATCATTTGTCGCATGCTTGTCTTTTATTAATGCTCCGCCAAGTGATTATGACACAATACTGACTGCTCTCTTATCTGCTTCGGAAAAATGTGAGTCATCAAAGCAGCATTCTTGTATTATAACGTTTGACCAGCCCCTGTATTTCAAAGCGCGAGATATCGTTTCCTCGTACGGTGAGGACTCCAAATTAGGTAATATTGTTTTAAGACTCGGGGGATTCCATTTATTAATGTCATTCATGGGATCGATCGAATACATAATGAATGGAAGCGGATTAAAAGAGCTCTTTAACACCATTTACGCATTGAATTCAATTGAAAAAATTATGGCAGGACAAGCTTATTCGCGGGCGGTAAGAGCACATATATTGACCCATCTTACAATTGCTAAAATTGTGCTACAGTCAATAGATTTTACACCCGATCTCAGTGCGGAATTAAAAAGAGTTTTATTCAATTTTGATATGTCAGTGGTAATCGTGGCAAACCAAGAAGAATGCTACAAAGAACTTGCTGAGAAATTTGAGAATCAATTAGCTAAATTTGAAAAACGTGGTGCTACTGCGAAATTATGGGTACAATATTTTAGGATGGTTACTCTCGTAAAACACTTTATTGAGGCGGAAAGAATGGGAAATTGCAATCTACATCTTGATACTGTGTAAAAAATTATGCCTTATTTTCATGCCAGTGGCCATTTCTTGTATGCAAAATCCAGTCACCTATATTTGCAAGATATGATAAATTTGAACGAAAGACTTACAGCTAAAGAATACGAACTTTTCACTACTAAAGGACACTTTACAATTAAGCGTTCTGATAAATTTTGGTGTGGTACTTGGTCAGATATGACGATTGAGCAATCGTTGATGAGGACGATGAAATGTCTTGGTGGCTTTACTCATGGACGAGAAGTAAAGGAAAGTGTGCTCTCCAAGTGGATTTTAGGAATGGTTTTTCTGCACAATGTTTGCGAAGAAGTTGAAAAGTTTTGCAATGTAGCTTTTTCCAGTTCGGAGCAGCATGTTGAAATAAGAAACTCGCGGATTAAACGTGACAATGACGACATAAACAAATTGACGGATTGGTTGTACCAACATGCACCTTTTCCAGAAGTAAATGAACTTATGTCAATAAGCACTGGAATGATAGGAGATGAAGAGATAAACTGTCATATGTCTCATGAAATTGGTACTGCCAGCATTTCTAAGATCATTGGCGCCGATTTCAATACAGTAAAATTCAAAAGAAATGACAGGGTAAAAGCACTTGGTGTAATGAATGCAGGTATTCGAATAAAATACATCATTGTCCCGATTAATCCACTATTGATTTTCCAAAGAATGTGCATTGCAAAAACATCTGAAACAAAACTTGAAACATTTCTATCGAACGAACTTGCACCTTTTCCTTTATCCCTTTTCAATGAGGAAGGTATGCGCAAATGCGCTAAATCTTCTATGTATAAGGCATTTAAACAAGTTTCTGAAGACATAAATTTTGGAGACACAATATATGTCATCGATGGTGGATACCTATTGCACCGAGTTATTTGGCATCGCGGTGATTCGTTTTCATCCATCTGCGATAACTACGTTGCATTCGTTTGATCAAATTACACATCGAATGCCATTGTTGTATTTGACGGATATCCGGAAGATGTAACACATCGTAGTACCAAGTATGCGGAGCGATACCGGCGATCAACAAAAACTGCTTCGGTAGACATAATTTTTGATGAAACAATGATCCCAGCTGTGCCACAAAATAAATTTCTGGCCAACGATTTAAACAAGAAACGTCTCATTGAAATGTTAAAATTAAAATTTGAAGCTGCAAACTTTATGATCAAACAAGCCACCGAAGATGCGGATACGTTAATAATTAATACTGCAATTAACATTTCCACTATGTTTGATTCTGTAATAGTTATTGGCGAAGATGTTGATCTCCTTATCCTCTTGACGGCTCTATCAACGCGTTCAAATATATATTTACTAAAACCGGGAAGAGGAAAAATTTTGCAACAATTATATTCTACAAGTAGCCTAATAGATAAAACAGCCGCAGATCATATATGGTTTTTGCACGCCTTTAGTGGCTGCGATACAACTTCAGCAATTTTTAATCAAGGTAAAATAAAATATATAAATACACTATGTAAAAATCAAGATCTAAATGAAGTTATTCATATATTTAAAAATCCAAAAGCTGATCCAGAGATCATCGCCACAGCTGGAGAACGCTTCCTTCTTAAATTGTACGGTTGTAGTGATGAGAATACCATGAAAAATAAATCTTTAAACGTCTTTAGATATGCGTGCTTTACAAAATCAGCATACAAAATTAAATTTAATATTGCATCATTACCACCAACGCAGGCAGCAGCACGACAACATTCGTTCCGAACATATCACCAAATTCAGCAGTGGTATGGGAATGAGCTGAATGCAGAACAATAGGGATGGAAAAGAAGCAAAAATGGCTTGATTCCTGTGACCTCACTCTGACGGAACATGTAGTAATGCACAAGTTCCATCACAAGATAGTGATGAAGAGGAAGACGCAGATATCATTTTCGAACAACTTTGCAATGACGATAATCCCATCGCGGATAATATCGAAGAAAGTGCAACCTCTGATTGTCCCTGAAGACGATTAACTAATAACATATGACCCATCGAGAACATCAAACTGAAGGTAAGAAGTTAATTAAGTAAATTATAAAAAAATCTAGTTTAATTTAATATGAAACTATTCTTACAAACAATATCAAATTTGCATTAAATTACACATTTAATTATTTAAAATGTTCAATCATCAGCAAAAATAAAAATGAAAAACAAAAATAATTAATTTATGTTATTTCTAGGCCAGACCTGAGCAGAAAAGCTTAATTCAACATTGAAGTTATTTATTTATTAGAGAGTATGCGTTCAAGTGCAATGAGCGGCCAAATTGTGGCGCGAGCAGCAGAATCTTTGCGGCGCACGTGCGCTATAACTATTGATGTTACAGAAAAAAACGTTATTGAATAAATTATAGAAAATTTTGTCTAGTTTAATTTTGTATATAGTTATTTTATTGTAACATGAGTCAGAAAGGAGATATCGTTGAAAAACTGATTTTTGACGCAATTTTTCCAATATAGCGGCGGCAGCGGCAAAAATTTGAGGTGGCAAAGTTGAAATTCGTAAAGATCACATCAAAATCTATAAAATCACCAATTTTCAAAACTACCGGAAAACTGTTGAGATAAAACTACCAAATGACTGAACTATATATGGTTTATTTAGAAAGATTACCCATTGGTAATTCTTTCTAGTGTGGATATATGCTGTTACTATTTGCTGATTACTATATAAGCACTTAAATAACTAATGCTATATAAACTCATATCTATAACTATCCTGGTCTAAATAAAAATAATAAATAATAACTTCAGCCTTTTTTGATGCGTTACATTATATAGACTTGCTCCGAGCTCATTGGGGTGTCCATCGATTTTATTTTTGTAGTTTTGGGCAATCTTTTTGATTTCTTCTTTTACAGTGGGAGTACGTGTGTCTTGGTGGATTAGCCAGATGGGCACATATCTTGGGGCACAAATGGCTTGGCGTAATACTTTGTTTTGGAAACGCTGGATTATTTGTATGTTGCTATTTTTTTGCTAAACCCCATATTGAAGACCGTACGTCCACACTGGTTTTAGGATAACTTTGTACAGAAGAATTTTGTTGTATGTCTATAGCTGCTTAGAAGCCAGTGCATGGATTTACGGAGAAGTTCGAGTTGTTTGCTTTTTTTGTGGATGTGCGTCTTCCAGTTTAATTTTTTGTCAAGGTACATTCCCAAATATTTGGCGTGGTCTTGAGGTGGTATTTGGTTGTTGTGGAGTACAACTGGGGGGCATGTATTTTGTCGGAGCGTGAAGGTTACTTGGGCAGACTTGGAGTAGTTGATCATTATCCTCCACGTTTTTAACCACTGTTCGATGGTATTTAGGTGCGACTGCGGGTATTCTGATGCTTTAATTGGGTCCCGATACTGGGCGGTAACATAGGTGTCGTCTGCATAGGTGGCCAGTTCCGACTTATTGCTTTGGGGGAAATCTGCGTGGATCACCACTGAAACCTAAATATTGAAACATTATAGAGTAATAATATTGTTACACAGCTGTTGTTATATCATATTGAAGAACAAACCCTGCATATTAATGTAGACAAAGCATTTATTTTCAGTGAAGCGCCTGTTGTATTCCTTTTACATATGCTTGCAAAGTGTGCATCGCACACGTAACGGGATATATTGCAATGTAAAGGAGTTGAATTTCATAAAGCAAGATTTTCCGTTCTGTGCAACCAAATAGCAAACAACTATAATAACATTAGAAATGATATTTATTGGTGACGACCGATTTCATCTGAAATAGCTAGAAGCATCATCTCCAGCAACTGTCGAACCCAATGGACATCACCAACGACCAAAAGAGTTTGTTGCCCCAAAAAAGCCTAACAAAAATTAGAAGAAGATACTCGAATTGACGAAGTTTACAATGTACATGAAAAACTGCTGTCGGCCAACAAAATAAAATAATGATGAGTATGACCTTTATGGCGAATATTTATTATCAAAAGTAAGCAAATTAGATGAGCGTTCACATGTCATGGCTCAACGCCATATAAACCAGATAGTGTTTGAAGCAGAGCTTTACCGATAAAAAAAAAATGATTGGGCAACAGCAAATGTGTACACCTACTGATGCTGGTTATATAACAATATTATCAAATACAGAAGAGTCAGATTGCGGCCATACCTCACGTTTTCCAGACATTTCTCCAGTTCCATCTTCTTCTCATCCAATCCATTGCGTACATAATGTTGAATGTTGAAGAAAAACGATGTATAATATTTAATAAATAAATTACCATAAATAGTTTAAAAAATCTATTTCTTACTCTAATTTCTTCATGCAGAACTTGTATGAGTTTTTGCGTTTTGAAATCTTGAACAAATGTAAGAGTGACCAGTGGCCAGAAATCGCAATGTTAAACTTAGTCTTTCCTTCACGGGTATTGCCTCTTTGAAATAAGTGTCCTGTTTACATCTTTTTGGTCCGACCATATTTATTAATTTTTCAAAGTGTGATGATGATAGAAATTTGATGTGTCCAGAATTTTTACTTTGTAAATCCAAAAGTAAATCTGTGCCACTATACCGGCTTCTACTTTTAACAGAGATGTCATCCAACAACGACGGTTTCTTGCTTTCTTGTGTCGTGTTTGTACATGTTTGATAACTATTTCTTACCTTCCCAAAAAAACTGACATTTCAAAACAACAAGATCACCAAACAAAGAAGATTCAAGCGTTTGTTCAAGATTAGATTAGAATGAATCTTCTTCGTATTTTTAACTTCCCGTAGGGTAAGTTATAGTAATCTCGAAAAAATCGATAATGAAAATTTTTATATATCTTTACGTTTCAGAGGTTTCTGAATATTTTGGCATACCTTAGAAAAAATCGATGTGTGTGTGTGTGCACTCAAAACCATGCTATATCGTTTAAAAAACCATTTCTCCACAGATCTTTATTAGAATTATGGGGATCGTGAGCTAATAAATTAATTTTGTTATATATTTATTTATAAAATTAATAAATCAATCAATAAATGAATGTAATAGTAAATTAATTTCTTAATTAGCGGCGGCATCCGAGCGCAAGGGTTATTAATTCAAAAAACATTTTACTTGTATTGACAAGATGAAGATTTGATCAAATTTTCATGAGGGCAGGTCTAGCGGTTTCGGAGATCTAACGAAAAAAGTAAAAATAAATGCCATTTGGCGGTCAAAAATGATCATTAGACATATGCACATCAAATTATCAGATATTTTATAAAGATTTTAACTATAAGTATAAATTTTGTTTACATTCCTATGGGTTCCGTACCAATGTTTACCCGTTAGACAGCGACGCGGCGCTTACGTGCTTTATATTTTGTCTCTATGCAGTTAAAGCAGTACGATTGCTTTGAAAAAATTTTCAAATTTTTTTTTTCAATTTTTTTTTCAAAAAAAAGTAATTTTTTGTCAAATTTATAATTTCTCAAAAATCTTATTTTTTCGAAGTATTTTTTTTTCAAAAATGTTAATCGTTTTTAAAAAAATAATAATTTTTGGTACGGGAAGTGTTAAAAAGTACTCCGACTCGTTTAATGAAGTCAAACTGTCGTCTATCAGCGGTAGCGGATATTTATTTTGCTTTGCTACTTTATTCAACTTTCGATAATATACGCAAAATCTCCACTTCCCCGTCTTTTTCTTAAATAAAACCACCGGACTGGCCCATGAGCTTTTAGATTTGCAAATTACATTCGCTTTTAACGTTGCTTCTACATCTCTCTGTATCTCCGTTCTCTCACTAAAATTATTCCTATAAGGCGTTTATTGGTCAAGTTGGGGTTTCAAATGTGTGACAGGTATGTTGCGCTCGAGTTAATTATTTGTCGTCTCAGCAGAATACGTCAGAATTATCCTGTACGATTCTTCTTAATTTCTCGCGTGCATTCGAGTTCGACTTCGGGTTAATCTTTAATTGATCATTGTTTT